GCTGGTGATGGTCCATGCTGACCGCCAGGGCAGGACCCAACACAGGACTGCAAACAGCTTACGTCCAAAGTCAGGCCCTTCCTGCCTAGCACTGGTTATTCTTCATGTGGGGAAACCAAGGTACAGGCATGCCAGGGCTCTGTCCAATGTCCTGGAGTGGGAGTGAGGTCTCCACCTTGTCTGATGCGGAGGTGACAAAGGCAGGCAAGGTGGGAGAGGGTGTGTGTATCATGAAGGAGACACCCAGTTCCTCAGATCGCTACCCCTCTGCCTGGTGTAGTATCCCCAGCACCCCAAACCTGTGCATACCTGTCTGAGTGCCTTGTGGGGTGCAGTCCTTTGGGGTCCCTGCAATGGTGAGGTGTCCTGTCTCGAGTGCCCTGGCCCCCTTGGGCCCAGCTCCTGCCCTGCTGGGGCCCCTTGAGATCTGGCCTGATGGGGTGTCACCCCTGTACGGATGTGAAGATCCCATTGATCCAGTCACTTCCTGGGTTACCCTGCACTACCCTGGTAGGTGGGGCCTGGGCCACCTCCCGCTGCTGCCCAGCGGGCCCTGAGCCCATGGCATTGCTGCCCGTGCCCACTTTCTACATGCTCTGTGCCCCACAGAGCTACTGGATGTTTTACACCCCCGGATGGAGGAACCAGACCTAAACGAAGTCCTCACCAGCCAGGGTGGGTAAATAAATTGACATTCACTGAACCAAACACTGCCGCAGGTCCGAGGAGCCAGGGGAACAGTAAGGAAGGCACGGGCCAAGGCAGTCACTTATGCCACTGGGAACCATGTGACTGCCACACTGAAGCACCATGGGAAAGCTGGACTTTGTCCCCTGGGAGGTGTAGGCTGTGGGGCTCCTGTGTTCCAGATGCTCTGAGGTCGCGGTGGGGATGGAGTGGGCAGCAGAGCCAGCTCCCAACTGCCATCTGTCCGGGGCCCTGCCCAGCCCTGCCCAGGGCTCTGCATCTGTGACAGCAGGAGGCCCGGGGACCAGCAGAGTGGTCACCCAGCCCTGCACTTGGCTAACCCTCCATGGTGGCATCTCCTCACTCCTAAGCATTTCTCACAAGGGCCCTAGGTCTCCACCCCACATGCGGTCTGGGACACTCCTAGGCGGGCCTCGGGTATTCAGTGTGGGCTGCGTTCTCGGATTTCTGAAGTACCGTACCTTGTGCCTCGAGGGTCGGTGACTGGTATCTCCAAATGGGTTTTTTGTTAGTTTGGGTGGGAATTGACTCAGGACCTTATGCTTGCCGGGCAGGTGCTGTGCCACTGAGCTATCTCCCTGGCCTTTCAAATAGGTTTACTTAAAAGTCCTACTTTTTGCCTTTAGACACAAGTGGCTTCCCCAAACTTCCCCAGGCACAGGGCATTCCTGCCACCCCGCATCTCAGCCCAGGTGAATGGGCAGAGCACAGATGATGGCATGAGTTCAAGCCGCATTTCACTTAGGCTGGTAGAGGTCTGACTCAAGGAAGAAAGGGGCCTGGAGACCTGTTGTCTCCTTGCATCCTTCACCCCACCCTGTTCCTTGCTCCAAAAAACCCTCACCCACCCATACACAGGGAGGTGGTGATCTGAGGCAAATGTACCCTTCTATCTCCTTGAAGCGAGCTTTGACTTTTTTTTTCTGGTAACGGGAATTGAACTCATGGCCTTCCGCTTGCGAGGCAGGTGCTGTGCTGCTGAGCTAAATCCTCAGCCCTTGGAGCGAGCTTTGAATACGTGCTTTTTCCTTTTTTATCAAAATAAATGGTCTCCTTTGACTTGGGCAGCAGCAAGCAGACGAACCCACGCACATGAGCCTCAGTGGTCGGGGACAGCCTGCCGCTGCACGAGCCTGCACAGGTCTGGGACACTGGGACAGGAGCACCCTGTGGCGGCGCTCCCTGAACGCTGCTGTCAAAAGGGGTCTTCAGCTGGGGTCATTTTAAAATCTGACCTTGAGTCTTGTTCTCAGAACCGATCAAACCCGCCGTGGCCACCACAGGCCACGGCCCAAACTGTCCTTCTGCAGCCACTTCCCATCTGTGCCTTGCAACACACACCCAAATCTGACCTGCTTTCGTGAGCCAAGTCAGTCACCTAGGGCCGCCTCAGCCTTGTGGTGGCCATGCAGGCGGTGGCAGCAGTGTGCACTGGTATGGTCACCAGGAGGGGCTGTGAGATGAGGCCAGGAAGCAGCACAAAGGTGCTTGACGGAGGGGCCCGGGACGCTCATAGGACCAGGGAGCACCAAGCCCACGGAGGATCCTGGCCGCCGCAGGGCAGGCTTGCATCTTGGACAGCGAGGAAGGCACATGCTGAGGGGCAACTGCAGGTGAAGATGACCGAGTGCAGACGGCTGGCTCTCCTCAGGTGAGCAGGACAGGACGACACTGGGTTGTCACACTGCTTGCCCTGTTCCAGGGGCCAATGTTGTCACTGGGGGACCATGGAACAAGATGGGGTGCCTGAACCCCAGACACACAAAGGGAGACTGGGTGGGCCTGCCTTGAGGGTGACAGAACACATGGGGGGAAGAGCTAGTGTGAGTCGGGTTCCTCTCTGAGCAGATGCGGCGCTCCCTGCAGGCCCTGGGCATGTCCTGTCCCCAGGACTTCCGACCATGGCAGTGCTGCTGGCGGGGGCTCATCACAGCCCCTGCACGCTCCTCACTGGCGGGGTCTCTCCTGCCACTGCCCCTGCCCAACCCTGGGCTCACCCTTTCCTCTCCCACAAGGTACCCGCCCCTCCTACGTGGGTGGCCCGAGTTGGCCCCAGGCCCTGCACACTCACCCTTACAGGGATCACCCTAGGTGAGAAAGTCCCGTCCTCACCCTGGCCAATGGATGACCCCAGGGTGCTGGCCCCTCCCCACCCAACGCCTGGCCCTGATCTGTGGTCTCTTCTCAAGGTTTGCTCCATACACTGTGTCCTGCAGGCCAGGGCTGCACACCCTGGACCATCAGTCCCCACAGGTGACAGTTTCCACAGTGGCCACCACTGGGTCCCAAGGACCCCAAGGTCCCCTCTCTCTTCCCAGCCCCGTAAACCCACACCGTCCCCACCCTGGCCTTAAGAGTCCCCATGGAGAGGCAGACCCTGCTCTGCAGCGAGGAGCTGGGGAGGAGACCTGGGGAAACAGAGGCTTGGGCAGCTCCACAACTTCTTGTGGGATGGGGGGGGTGTGGGGTATTTAAGGTGGATGACACTGAGGAGTCCTCCCCCCTCTTCTTATGCCAGGCCTGTGCTGGGGACAAGGATGACTGATGGCCTGCATGGTGTCCCTTGGGCCATGTCAGCCCTGCCACTCACCTGTGTCATGGTCAGGCACTGTGGCCAGGTGACTGGGGGCAGCTGGTCGCTGCATCTAAAAGGACAGCAAGGTGATGGGATGTGAGGGGGCAGCAGGCCTGGCCTGGCTGAGGTGCAGGCCATGCGGGCTGGGGCCTGACCAGCACACAAAGCTTAGGACAGGCAAGCAGGAAGGCAGCAGGCTGGCCAGGTCACTCCTGGTCCAGGGGTCTTCTCTGTCCTTCTGGAGCCTGCCCGGCCCGAAGCCAGACACCTGAGGATGCCCTGGGCCAGCAGCCACCACACCCTGAACCTCAGGGCACCTGCATCTCTGCCATGACCCAGCAGCCCCTGTGATGCCGCCACAGTGCCCCTGTAGACCAGCCAGGGCTGTGACTTGATGCTCCCATCCCGCCAACCATCCCTCCACCGCCCCGGAAAAAGCATGGCCCAGGGCAAGGCAACCAAGTGGCCCGACCCAGGGGCCCTCCAACAGGCACTGGGCTCTGGTCTCCCCAACTCACCCGAGGGGCTACAGTGGCCCCCTGTCCTCCCCACCCAAGGCCCTGTGTGTACAGCAGGGAACTTTGGGCACTTGGCTGGGCAGGACACCTCAGGAAGCCCTAGCCCGGTAGCGTCGGGCTCCTCTCCTTCTGAAGCAAGTTCTTTTTTAAGAAACAAAACCAAGAAAGTACGATAAAACACACAAGACCACCTTGGAGTGGGCTGACTCGTGAGTTCAACCTGAAGATATATGACATTTTCTTCTGGTACAAGACCACAGCTGTGCCTTCCCAGGGCTGGCAGGCCCCTGGGCTCACAGTCCACATTCCCAGGGACGTCCTGGGGTCAGGGGGAGGCTCCCAGGCAGGCAGCCCACACTCCCACTGCATGGCCTTGGCTGGCCACCGAAGTCCTGCGTCTGAGGATCACCACTCGGCAGCAGGTCCCAGGCAAGGTCACCAGCCTCGAAGCAGGGAAGAGCTCACTGAGGACCGGCCAGGCTGGTGCACACAGCTCCGGCAGCTCTGAGCTTTCTATTCACTTTTAGAAGTGAGCCACCCATTGCCGAGCGGCTGCCAGCTGGCCCGCTGGGGGAGCAGATTTGAGATGGGGTGACGGTTTGTTCCCCAAGCGCAGTGTTCTGGCCAGTGCGTTCCCTGTGCAGCAGCTGACACCTCCTGGACACATTTCCACACGATACACTCGGCTGTTCACCCTCCTGCACTGTAGCCGCTGCTCAGCCCTCCCTTCTGAGCAGGACTCCTACCCCAGGGAAGGTCTTCATTCACTGAGATCCAGCCCCCAGGCCCTGTCCCCAAGGGAGCAGGATCAGGAGAGACGGACGCCTTGGACTGAGGCAGTCTGGATGGGCACAGCTGCGACCTGCCAGGCTCCAGCTCCGTGGAAGCCCATGCACCAGGTGGAGGGGCTCCAGTGGGGCCGTTCGGGATTCTGTGCTTACCCGAGCCTTCAGGGACATCATCACTCAAAGCCTGTGTGGAGGGCAGATCTGCAGCCCCACCCATGCCCCATCAACACTTGCTGGATCTGAGAGCTGTTGTGAAGTCCTGGCAGGGCTGCAGGATGGATGGGAAACAGCCTGTAAGAATTCCCCACTCTGGTGCTGCTGGGCCCAGGGGCCAAAGGCCTCCCGGCTCGGAATCACAGCTGACGACTGCTCGCAGGCAGAGCTGTCCTAACGGCATGTCACAGACAGACCCACGATGCTTAAATACAGATTTATTGCAAACTAACACCGAGGAACTGGAGCAGCTTTGCAAGCTGGACACCCCACTCTCCAGGGCCCCTGGACAAGGGGGATGAGTCACCCCGCTTTCCTCAGACCTCAGCTGGTGGGACTTAGTGGCCAAACTGCAGCTGTCGTGTCTAAAAAGAGAAAACAGGCCGTGCGCCAGCTCCGGACAAACACTGGTCCAGCCCAGGGTGGCACCCTGGGCAGAGAACCATCCACCAGGTGCTGGAAACAAGCCATGCCAGGAGGGGGCATGGCAGGGCCACATGGGGGTGGCTGCTCCTGCCATGCGGCCACCACTTTGCACTGCTCTTCCTGGACAGGGCTTGCGCTTGTTGAAGCAGGGCAGGAAACAGGAGAAAATCCACACGGAAAACCAAACCAGGCAAGAGGAAGTCACTGCCAAGGAATGGAACGACTCCAAGTACCACACAATGAGGCACAGGGCTCCCACACTCTACCACTCCTCAGGAAGACCAGCCACAGGCAGGGACGGGGGTAGCTAGGGGATCAGAAAGAGGACAGCAGACACGCACTCCGGCAGCAGCAGTATGCAAATCCCAGGCTCCTGGTGGGAATTTCAGGAAAAATGAGCAAAGCTTCCTCCGGGCCTCTGGGAGGTGATGGTTCTGCTCCCTGGCACCAGCTCGGTGGCGAACATGAGATGACAGGGCTCTCACAGCTGTTCCCTCCTTTAACCACAGAGCATCCCCTGGTTCATACCTCTCACAGGCTGCCTGCACCTCCAGGAAACAGAAACCCCCTCACCAGCTCTAGCTCCACAGCTGAAGCTAGCTGTCTCTGGAGGGTCGCCCCCATTGAGCCCCTGGGGACAGCCCCTCCCCAGCCTTCACATCGAACGGGAGGCCAGGCCTTGCTTCTAGTGGGCTGCAGGAGGCACAGGTGTGGAGACCTGTGGTGTAAACTGTCTGCACCAAGGTCAAGAGCTGGATGAGGGCGCAGTGCTGGGCAGGGGTAATACAAGCTCCTGGCTATAGGGTAGAGGCCCCTGGGAGCCCTTGGGCACCTGGGCCCCACCCCTCAGTCCGGTCACATGATCTGGCTGGAGCAGGGCAGCAGCTGTACTCAAGGGGTGGGCATGGGGCTGCTGGAGTGGTGCCCAGTCCCCCGGGAAGCAGACAGTCTTCGGGCTCTGGGGACTGCCTTCAGCAGCTGGCTCAGGCACCCCTCCTCCTATGGCTGAGGTCCAGGCCAGGAGCTTGCCGTGATCTCTTCCTTAGAGTGCCCACGTCTGTTCCTGGTCCAACCCCACAAGGAGGCCTCCAGACAGCCCAGCAGAGTATCATGCAGCGGTGGCTGGGCCCACTCACTTCCACAAGAGCCCGGCAAGGCAGCCACAGTCAAAGCACAGAAGGGACCCGCCATGCCTGGAGCGCAGACTCCCCAACACCGATGACGTGCAGACGGCACAACCCAGCACACTCACAAAGAGCAAGGCGCATGTGAACACACCCCAGAGGGCAAGGGGTTCCCACAGAGGCCCAGCAGCACCCCACAGTGCACCCAGTTCCCCTCATGCAAGCACTGAGCCCCACATTCCAACTGGGCCTTGCTGAAGGGACAGAACTCCCCACCCAGCCACCAGGACAGCAAGCAGAGGACGTCAAAACAAGTGGGGTGGGGTGATGGGTGCAGCCCTCGATGCTGGGTGCCGTGAAGACAGCATGTGCTCCCGGTTCTCGGGCAAGTGTCCCTCCTGCGCGTCAAACACCTTCAGTCAGCGTTGGCCACGGCGGCCAGCAACACTGGCCCCGCACCTGCCCCCAACAGTCTGGAGGTGCGAGGTCAGGAGGAAGGCTGGGCTCACCCTTGAGAGAAAGGGTGGCTAGGGGTGGAGGAGATGAGCGCGCCCCTGGCACGCAGGGAGCCGAGGGGGATGGCCGAGGACAGGGGTCATCCTTTTCCTTCCAGTCACTAAAACTGCACAGCCCCCGGGGAGATGTTGAACATGGCCGGGTCGAATCGCTGGCCTCGGAAGGGAGAGCCTTCAGCATCCCACCCCTTCTTCAGCATCTCATGGACTTTCTATGAACAGAAAACAGAGAGGTTAAAGATGACCGGCGCCGCGCTTTCTCCCCGGCATGCTAACCATGGCCTTGCCTTGGGACACTCACATGGCGACTGCCAACTCCTCCGCAAGACTCTGCGGCCCCCAGCCAGAATTCCTAGCCCTCCACCTCTGGACTCCCGCAGAGAGGCCCCCAGCCCACCTCGGGACTCAACAGAGGAATGCGGGGAGGTTCCTACCATTGATCAGACAATCCAGGTTTGACCCACAGTATGACGCAGCAACCCCCAAATGCCTCCCTGGGGACACGGTCAGAGCTGGGGAACTCAGCTCCACTCTCAAACTGCAGCCTTCCAGGCTTGGGAGCAGACCCGACTGCGCAGCCAGGCCGGAGACATAGACAGCTGTGCCCAACGGATGCGTCTGCACCTACGCTGGCAGGCCCTCCAGGCCTCCATTATCTGCCAGCCATCCACAGCACAGCACGCGCACCCAGGGGTGGGGATGACCTCTGTTTTCTTTCCACCATGAGAAATGAAAGAGTAAGTACAGGGCCAGAGGCCCCTCACGCATGGAGTCCAAGGTTCCTGCTGCAGAAAGCCCAGCAGACAGGTGGTCAGGACTCCTCTCAGGGAACACAGGTGGGCATAACAGACCTGAGCCGTGGGGAAACTCCCAACGTCTGCGGAAACCACTGGGTCCTCAGCTCCAGTGTCTTAAATAAAATACCACTTTCCTGACTGGGGGCTTCCTTTTTCCTGTGGGCTCCCCCACCCCCTGCCTTCCATATTGGAGACTGAACCACTGAGCTACATCCCCAGCCTTTTTATTGAGACTGACCTATTTTTCCCAGTTTCTTACAAATAAATCAGATCAGAGACTAGAATGACCATTTGGAGAAGGTGGTTCTGTAGTGGGGTCTGAGAGGGAGTCATACACATGTGACTGGGAGAAGGGAGGGGACAGGGAACCTCTCTGTGACCCTGAAGGCCTGGCCTCCATCTCTATCCATGGGGAACATGAGGCCGGACCATCTCAACCAAATCCAAGAATGGACCAAGCTGACAACCCAAGCAGGAGGCCAGAGAAGGTCCGGGAGCCCCTCCAGGCCAGGGACAGTGGGAAGTCTTGTGTGGGAAGCTGAGCGTGCAAAGGTTATCATTCTAGACCTTCCGACAGAGGAAGCTCAGTGTGCCAGGACCTGAGCTCAGACCGCCCCTGGGCAAAGGTGGGAAGCAGGCTCTGTGGGTGTCACCAGCTGGCCTGGTAATGCTAGCATCTGCCCATCAGGGTGGTCCCACCATGCCGGACAGAAGAGGTCACAGAAAGACACATCCCAGTGCAAACTGACCATGTTCCTGCGACTCCACACTCCCCTCTTCAGGGGACCCTGCACAATAAGATTAAATGAGGGGCATGACAAAGGGATTAAATTAGGTGACTCTGCAGAGAGATGACCTCACAGTGACATGAAAGACTTTCAAACGAGAGAAGTGTTATCACTTCAAAGTTAAAATGCTTCAGAGCACACAGCATCTGCGGTATTAGAAGCACAATTTGAAATCCTGGCAAATTTAGAAAACTCGAGTGCACACCATAAATGGGCATCCATGCCAGGCATGCTGGTGACTGTGATTATACCAACCTGCATGGCAGACAGAAGCTGAGAGAGAACCTGCCCCACCTAGAGCCTCTCCCCTCAAGGAGGTCCATGATCCTCAGCAAACAACCTGGGCCCTAAGGACCTCTTGGGTGGGTCCCTTTGCTTCCCTGTAAGGTATCCCCAATAAGAAGGAAAAAGCGGCCAAACTACTTCCTGGGGCCACGTAACGCCATAGAACTACCTTTCTAAGTGTGTTCCTTCATTCATTAAAAAAAGGAATTTATTTAACATGGCACCCTTGGGGTGCCATGGGGTCAGGGCCCCCAAGCCATGCCAAGCCGAGAGAGAAGCCAAGTCTTGGGCACCGAAACATAGCACAGCCCCACAACTTGAGCTCATTACCATCCGCTGGAGGCTCGCTGGTTGTCCAGGAGCAGGTCAGTGAGGGGTCACTCTGGGTCCCACCCCATGCACTGAAGCCCTGGGCTCCTGCAAGTCGTTGAAGTCTCCCCACGGCACCTTGCTCGGAGCAGGGACACACGTCCCCTCAAGGGCAGCAGGCTACCTGGCCCGGCAAGGCCACAGCAGAACTGATTTGGACACAAAATGATCTTTTTAGACCACAGCACCTGAAGATTCTTTGGATTCTTCTTAATCAGGCTGCTGGCCAGTCCCTGGGCTCCCAGCACAGGGTCACGAACAGCTGTGCACCAGGCCTGGGTGAACCTACACAGCCCTCACTTGGTCTCTGCCATGCTATGGGGGCCATGAGGGCCCCACACACTGTCCTTGCAGCAAGTCAGCTCCGGCAGGACAAGGTGGCCGCATAGAGGGCACATGGCAGCCACCCACCCATAGGTTGTGGTACAACCCGCACCTGGCCCTCGAGCCTCTCCTGCCCCAGGCTGTCAGTGGGGTCTTGGTGTGAGCTGGAGGCCAGAACTTCCCTGGAGCTTCCTCACTGCTGGGATGAGCAGACTGCCGTGTTCCCAGGTCTGGGCAGCAGCCACCAATGCAGGGAGCCCCGAGGCACCAGGGTCAGAGACAGAGCAGCTGCACCGGGGCTGAGCTGCTCTTCGGAGAAGGCGGGCATGAAGTGTCTGGCCTCTATGGACCTTGAGGGCTAGCCCCAGGCTGCCCTCCCTGTGGACGCAGCACAAGCTCTGGTGACGTCAGCCCTCAAGAAGGTGACACTGTGCAGCCAGAGGACGCCAGCACAGAATGCACGGGACGGGGAGCAGCAGGACTGGAAGCAATGAGCTGAAGCTCCTGCAGGTCCACACAGGTCCACTGCCCCAGCCGCTCCTGGTTTTGACTTGTGTGTCCTATTTCATGTATGTGCTGCCAAAGTGAGCACAACCTGTAGGTCCTGTGAGAGGTGTGAAATCGTGAACTCAGGAGCCAGAAATGGAAAGAGCTGTGGGACTCACAGCTGAAGTCCACAGAAGCCCTCACTGAGGCCTGACCAGTGCACACAGTTCATGCCAGAGTGAATACTCGTTTCCAGAGCTTCTCTGACAGGCCTGAAGCTGGCACCCGGGAAAGGCAGAGGCGCCACAGCCGTCAGCCCCACTGTCTTGCAGCACAAAGATCTGCATCCTTAGGAGCAGGGTGCCGAGCAGCATCTCCTCCTAATCCACCCAGGACGACGAGCACCTACCTTCACATCCTGAGTCCAAACAGACCCATGCCCAGAGGTCGCTTCCTGTGGACACGCGCTGACCTGAGATGGGGCCCACCCCAGGGCAAAGGTTCACGGATGGGACGGATGCAGTGTGGTGGGGCTGAATGCCACGCCAGCCTGTCTACACCACTGCAAGTGAGCACCGAGCCATACTGTCACCCTAGAGTCCCATGACCTCTAGGCCCATGCATCCCATGACATGTCCTTCAATGTCACTGGGCCCTGGGTGAGTGGGGTCTGAGCTGAAAGGAGCGTTCTCGCCCCCAAGGGACCAAGCCAGGTTGGGCAGGGCCACGGCCTTGGACAGAGAAGGCTGGGATGAGATCTGGGGTCAACCTGGCCTGGGCCCCTGGTTGGTCCCAAACCATTCGGAGACCCTGGGACTCAACAATACTAGGAAGGGAGATCATCTCCAGGGTGCCGCATAGGGCCCTCCCAGGGGCAGGTGACATGGCTGTGAAAACAGGCCACGGCATCAACGCATCAGAGCACACAGCCCTGATGGGTACACGCTGCCCAGGAAGGAAAGGACAGGACAGTCACACAAACCACACAGACTCAGAGACCCAGGCCAGACGTGCAGGCCGCTCACGGAAGTGGCCTTCCGGGGACTGGCTCATGCCCTGCAGCTGACCTCTCCCTACCAATCCACACTGTGCTGGGTCTGTGTGCACTGGAAGGTGAAAGAACCCGAAGGCAAGCAGCCCTTTCTTCCCTATGCAGACACTCTCAGGGTTATGTTTATCTCATCATCGCTCTCTTTGCCACAGGCAGACAGCCCGTCCCTGCACCGTGGGGAGGCAGCGGTCCCTGCCCGAAGAGGACCCAGGCTGGCCCTGTGGCCCAGAGCCCCTCCTCCGCCTTGCTGCTGTGGATGAAGGTGGATCCATCTCCTGGCACTCTTTAAGGCTCTGCCACCTGTGCTCACTTGTCTTCAGGTGGGGAACGGTGGCAAGAGTAGGTGGGACAGGATGCAGGATGGCCAAGGGGGACTGACCCACCCCGCCCCCAGTGTCACCCGGCTCCTGCAAGCACCCTGTCACCAGCAAAGGAGGGCACAGTGGCCGTACCAGCTCATGGCTCTGTGGCTTGCCCTGCAGCTTCTGGTGGTAGTCAAAGGTGAGCCGGTCCAGGACCGCCTGCTCCTCCTCATCCACAGTGGCCATGGAGCGCTCCTTGTTGATCTTGTCGATGTCGATGGGTTCCTCACCCTCGAGGATAGCATTCCACCAGTACTCACCCACCTTGCTCAGGTTCACCTGAACAAAGAGCGGAGACAGACGTTGGCAGGGGGACTGTGGCCAGCAAGCCCGCACCCACTGGGGACCTCTCTTCCAGTGGGGACAGTCTGCAGAGGGGCACAGTCTGCAGAGGGGCAGGCATCCATAACTAGGGACATACCAGAGCCATCCAAGGGAGGCAGCTGCAGGAAGGTGTGTAGGACACAAGCATGAGTGGGGACACCTAGGGGACCCACATCCTGCTGGTACCTGAGACCTTCTTCCCAGGCCCTCCACCCTCAGTCAGGGAAGTGCGCACATATGCCCACCCCACCCTTTCCCAAGAGATGCCCCTGCCCACAGCACCTGGTCCTGGCCTGTGTGGGGCCTTTCTGGGTCCATCCTGCCAGTCTGGCCAGCCCCACCAGCTCTTGTCAATTACCTATCGAGCTTCCAAGGTCACCACCCAGTCTCCCACTGTCTTGGGGAGCAGAGACCTACAAGGTGAGACAAAACTCCCAGGGACCCAATGGGGGCTAGGCACCTCCCTACTCCCTCCCTGGAGCCAGACCTACTGCCTGGGGGTCCTCCAGCCAGGCCCTCAGGGCAGAGCCCCGCTAGGTGCCACCTGCCTGGGCACCCTCGGGACAGCCTGATGCACCCCGGCCAGGGCAGCAACAGCCATGAGCCCTGTGTATGGCCCTCAGCACTGGGTCTGCGGCCCTCGTCTCAGGGCCACACACACCTACTGGGAGGGGGCAATGCACACCTTTTGTTGGGAAGCTCAGTCTGTCCTATCATCGTGGCCGGGGTCATGGGGTCACACCAGGAGTAAGGACACTGGCTGCACCCCTCACAGTCAGAGGCTGGGCTCACTGGACATTCTTAGGATGGCAGCCAAGAAGCAACAAGCACGTCTTTGCCCACCCCACCCTATCTGTGACCCAGTAATGAAATGAAACAAAGCCCTTAGTCCTCACAGGCGGGAAAAGGCAGCCAGGGCTGCTGACTGGGGGCTCCCACCATGGAGGAACTGCCACCAGGCTTCCCGCCCAGGGGGCAAAGAGGTCAAGCCACACTCCAGATAATCAGGAATGGCCCACAGAGGGGACCACCTGCATGGTCATCAAGGCAAGGCACCCAGGACAGCACTCCACGCAGGCCCCAGCTCCACAGGTGTCACCATGTGTGTCACAGGTGGGTCCTGGAGTGAGCCACTTTGTTTATAAAATATGTTTGGGTTTTTTTATTTGTTTTTTGAGACAGGGTCTTGCTATGTAGTTCAGGCTGCCCTCGAACTCACTATGTAGCCCAGGCTAGCCTGGAACTCACAGCAGTCCCCCTGCCTCAGCCTCCCCCGTGCTGGGATGATAGGTGTGCGCCACCACGTCCAGCTTTTAAAGTAAGTTTTTAATGAAGATGAAATTCATATAAAATTCTACCCACAAGTGAACAACTGAGCATATTTAGCATATTCTCCATGGTGTACAACCAGGGCCCCGTCTCCAAAACCATCCCTTTCTCATCACCCCAAAAAGAAGCCCTATCTCCATTAGCAGTCGCTCCACATTTGCCCTAATCTTTCCCCTACATGCCTCCTCCCTGGCCCTTGGCAACTACTGATGATTCCATCTCTAGCGATTTCCCTGTTTGGACATGTCAACATTGGAACCTTATGGTGTCTCTGTGTCTGGCTTAATTCTGGGCTTTTCCAGGTCGGCCGTGGCGCAGCCTGCCCCAGAACTCGGCTGCCTTTCAGGCTGAGCAGCACTGCACTGCACGGACACACTGCACTCTGTTCGCCCATTCACTCGCGCGCAGGCGCGGGGCTGCCTCCACCTTCGGGCCAGTGTGAGTAATGCGCGCAAACAACACCTGTTTCAACTCCTGCTTTCTCTGGAGTATTTAGGGACAGAAATGCTGGGTCGATGGTAATCCTACATTTAACTTTTTGAGGAGCCTCCAGATTGTGTTCCACAGGGGTGGCACCATTTTCCATTCACTGATTTCTCCACATGCTCAATGACACCATCCTCTTTCTTCCTAGTCACCCTGTCTCAGTTACTTTTCTCTCTTTGCTGAGACAAAATACCTGATGCCCAGAATTAAGGAAGGAAAGGTTTATTTACCTCACAGTTTGTGGAGGTTTCAGTCCAAGCTCGGCTGGTTCTAAGGCAGGGTGGCACATGGCAGAGGGCAACAGTTCAGGGCAACAGAAAACAGCAAAAGCAACAAGAGCAAAAAGGGAGAAACAGCAGCAAGCAGCCTCTTTCCCTCCCTTACAATCGTATGCAAACTAACCCCCCGAGGGTGGGTGTTGCACTTACATCCATAATTCCAACACTGCGCCATGAATCAATCATAAACTCTAGAAGTCCACCCCATGACTGCATGAGGCTTTGAGGGGACATCCAGACACAAACCATAACATCCCCACCAAGGTGCTCCTGGCTCTGGGTGAGCTCTGGTGGTAGTACAGGCGCAACTGCCTTCAGCGCTGGGGTAGCAGACAGGATGGGGCTCACATAAAGGCCCCAGAAGACCCAAGCTTTCTCTCCAAAGTCGCAGCCAGCTTCAGCCCTGGCCCTTTTTGAGACAGGCTCTTGCTGAGTCGCACAGGCTGGGCTTGAGCTTGCTGGGCTAGGATTAGAAGCACGTGCCACTGCACCCAGCTTCTTTTTCCTCCTCCTGCTCTTTATGGGGGTGAGCGTGAGGGGAAGGGTGGAATGAACCCTGGGCCTCATGCATGCTAGGCAATTTCTCTTCTGCTGAGCCACACCCTTCACACTGCTTTATATAACAATCCCCAGGCTTTCCAAATGCTAAAGTAATATAATCTGCAGTTCCTACTCTGACTTTATGAAGATGTACAAGAAGTGATCCACAAGGACAGCTCACAGCCAGGAGAGGCTGCCAGGAAGGGCAGCTCTAGGACAGGTAAACCTCATCCTCACAAGAAGGCCAGGTGGAACAACTGGGGGTGTCCAGATAAACCAACAGAGAAAGGAAAATCAGCAGTCCATGTCAGCAGGGCGTGGGTGTGTGGGCGGACACACCACGGCAACACTCGGAAATGCTGCAGCCCCCAGGGAGCCCACTGAGAAACAGTGACTTCCAGAAATCGTCTCAGTGCAGGAGGAGAGCAGTAGTGCAGCTTGTACACAAAATTTGCAGGGTTAGAAATGCATGCATGAACACACTGCATTGAGTTTTCAGAGCCTGGGCTTCAAGCACTAATTCCTCAGAGAATAGCGTGAGCTCCTTGGCCGTGTTCCACAGCTGCGCATGCACCGTGTCAGCACGGGAGGACGTGGTGCCCAGCAGCAGGCGCCTCCTCCAGCAGCACAATGCCCACGCAGTGTGGGGGGCAGCCTGCTGGTTCCCCGCTGAGGGAGAGACAGGACAATATGCAAGCCAGAGCCCAGCTCCTGGGCGGAAGGAGCTGGTGCTGTTACCACAGCTGATTTTGCATCTCTGTAACCAGGCGAGGAGCTCGCCTGAGTCAAGAAGTCTCATTTAACACTCCAAGTGTGGGAGGGAGGGAGGCAAGAACTGTCACACGGTTTTAGCTGCCACCCCTGCCTGCCCTGGCTGTCTGGTGTGGGAGCCACCACACAGTGTGTGTGTGTGGGGGCGGGGGAGGACAGCAAGTCTGCTCGCCTGCAGCAGGTGAGGAGGTCAGAACCTATCACTGTGGAGTCTGGGTTGACAGTGACAGCTCCTAATGCTGCCCCTTCCCATGGCAGCTGCAAGGAGAGCCCTCCACAAGTGTCCCAGGGCTGCTGTGACAAAAACAGAACAGGGTCTTAACACACAGTCCTGCCTCAGCCTCCCAAGTGCTGGGATTACAGGTGTGTGCCACCATGCCTAGCTCTCTTGCCATTCTGAAGGACATCCAAAGTCAAGGTGTGAGCAAGACCACGCTCCCTGGGAGGCTCCTTCTTCCAGCTTCTGGTGACTGCTGGCTCCCCTGGCTTGTGCATACACTGCTCTCTGCCTAGTTGTCACATGGCCTTCTCAGGGTCCATGTCACAAGGACACTTGTCCTGCACTTATAGCCTACCTGGACAATCCAGGAGGTCCACATCTGCCATCTTCCGGAAGAGGCCATGTTCATAATACGTCTCTGGAGCCCATGGGGCAGGGCCCTCCACTTACTCCCCTTGGACACCCTGCTCAGCACAGGGCAGCTGCAAAGCCACGGAGACCTGCCAACGCCAGGTGCTCAGCCCCACTGAAGGATGGGAAGCGGATGCCTGAAGCCCAACCCTGATCCGCAGCGATCCCTCTTTGCATCCACTCGCTGAGGGGAGACAGGGTGCCCGGTTTCATGGGGCACATGCAGTGCAGTGAACAGGGCCTTCATGAATTAAAACCTGCTTACTAATTTACAGTATTACCTCAGACATGCTCGAAAGAAAAACTTGTCCCCAAAAGGTCACTGATAAATAAATAACTAATTAAACCAAGAACACAGCAAACCCGTGGCTCCCGTAAATTTTAACTTTCTGTAATTGCTGGGCAGCAGATGCAGGCAGAGGCAGGCAGGGCTCTGCAGCCCAGTACATCTTGGCCTGGGTTGACAAGAGAGCCACAGGAAGAGGCCACAGCGCACTATGTGACTTGTCTTCCTGAGACTCTTTTTTTCCCCAAGTGGAAATGCAATGCCCAGCACCAACAGTGACAGTAGCTTTGAGGGGTCATGGGAACCAAAGCGGGGGCATCTCAGTTCCAGGGTCTTTGCCAGGCCTGCCAGGATACCAGAGATACCCGTTTGTGGCACAGCAGGTACCCCAAGCTGCAGCTGGCTCTGCTTCTTTCCTATCAGCTCTCCAGGAAGCATGTTCTGGTGAAAGTTAAGTGAAATGCTAGTGGCAGCTGGGACACAGGGAAGTCCAGGCAAAGTGATCTCGGTGAGGACGGGCCTGAGGGAGTCTATGGGTGGCTGGGGACACTTTCAGCGTCCTCCACAGCCAGTACACCTCCAGATGTCTCCAGCCAGGCAGGGGAAGAGGGGCACAGTGCACACACCCCACGCACAGGAGCACAGCTCCCTCCT